CTGATATTAACAGTCTGCAGTAACCTCTGACTGTTGGATAAATAAAATGAACTAAAATAAAATGAATACTCCTGGCCATAACCTTCAGAACTTCCGAGCCAATGTCTGCACCTATCCACTCTCATCTCACATTTCTAGATTGCCATCGATGTTTTAGTTTTTTTATATCTTATCTTCCCAATAAATGTAAGTCAGGCTGCGGTCTGTCCTTGCCTCCTCAAGAAGAAGCTATTTCTGCTAACTAAATCTTGCTTCATATGCACCTTCACAATGAAATCTTCCTGGGTGTTTTCCAACTAAATGAAATCTTTCTGAACTTTAGTTTCTCCATCTGCAAAATGGTACCCTGACCTTATCTCATAGAGCAGATGTGGGAATTGGATAAGGATCTCTGTGTTACACTGTCTTACACTGGGTATTTGAAGATTGGGAGGAACTTTCTGCCCAACACTGGGCGCCAGGAATCCTCATCTGCCTTGTTTATCTAGGCATGGCATGATGCTTCTCATTGGACGGAAGGGGTATACATATGTGGGGCATACCTCGTAGGATATATTGAATAAAATACAGCCACCAGCTAAATATGTAGAAGAAATGTGGACTATTAACAGGGCCGAGACATTATGGGGTTTCTGTATGGTTCAATGGCTAACATGCTCAGTGGCTCATCCATATCCTCCAGAGATACCAAAGAAGAAAGGCTTCCCAAAGTCAGCCGTTGAAAACCCTGTGGCACCTGGTTCCAAACAGATGGACACGGGGTTGCCATGAGCTTGAGTGGACTCCAGTGGAGATGAGAGAGGGATGTGAGCACGAGGGACGTTCCCCCTCAAAAATTACAGTTGCGGAACAAGAAACAGATACGAGAGTTTCTTGATTGATATGACCTGGTGGTCTTTGTATACTGGTGCCTGATTTGGGACTCGGAAGAGAATGGATGCATAATAAATATTTGACAAGTGAATGATACCCCCTGCGGTAGAGCCAATGGTGACTCGTAGAAACCTTATAAGGTTCCCAAGGCTGCAAATCTTCATGGAAGCAGATGGCTACTTCTTTCTCTCATGGCGCCACCTGGTAGATTTTAACTAACAACCTTGTGGTGAGTAGTTGAACATTTTAACCATTCATCGGCCGGGCACCTCAAGTGAATCATGTGATCCCTGAAAAACTTCTAAAACTTTTCATTCAAAGACTAACTGATATAAAGGTAAAATTGAAAGGGAAAAAAAACCACATTTGTTATTTAAAGGCCATGAATGAACTTCTTAGTGGTGTTGACAAATTGTAAAAGCTGTTGAGTGCAAGTCGCTGAAACAATGAAACTGGCTTGCTAACAGTGGAATGTTGATAAGGTGACATGGCAGCTGGGCATGAGGGAAGATCATGTCGCTCTTTCACCTGTAAAATCTGTCGATCAAACACAATCGGTGCTGTTCTCTGAATCACAGGAAATCATTTCATTCTCAGTGCCATGGAATTACCCGTAGGGTGGCGCTGATCTGCTAACTGCAAGGGCTTTGGTTCGAACCCACCAGCCACTCTGCAGGAGAAAGGTGAGGCTGTCTGTCTGCCCCTGCAAAGATTTCAGCCTTGGAAACCCTAGAGCGGGTCACTTGATGGGTCAAAATGGAATTGCTGGCAGGAGGTTTGGTGTAGGGTACTACTCATAGCAACACTGTGTAGGGCTTGTGAGACTATCAATCTTCTCAAGAACGTACTACCACCTCGTTCTCTCACGGAGCAGTGAGCGGGATTGCAATGCCAGAGTTGTGGTCAGCCGGGTCATGCTGAACGCACAGCACTCACACGGCTCCTTTTTTGATTTTCATTTTTTCTTTGTCATTTAGAATAGCAGACTATTGTATCTCAAATTTAAAAGAACCATGATTGAAATTTTATTAAAAGTCCACGTATCTGGGACCTCTTCAAAGGGAAAAAAAACCGTATCTGTGCAATGTACCTACACTTCACTCTAAACGCCGTAATGTCTTTGTTTTGTCATTCTCGCGGGCTGTTTATGTGGCAGTATTAATAAATGCAGCATTTTAATGAACTTTGACGGATTCATCTTCCGAGAGTTGGTACAATATGCTCCTTGGAGACGGGAAAGCGAAGTTTCCATTTGTGGAGGGAAGTCTGTTCCTCATTAGCTCGGACTGACGAACATGTGTCTGCGGCGGGGGGCGGGAGCCAACTCGTGCCCACCTGTGCCTCCACGGGGCTGAGCCGCGTCTCTGCCCTGCTGTGGACCAACCCCAGGGCTTTCATTAAAAGTGTCAGACGGCTCTCCCCAAGCAAGTGCTGATGGGATGTCATGTTGGTGTCTAGGGAGGAGCCGTGCTGGCACCTACTAATGGTCTGACAAACCGTTAAGTAGCTGCTGCTGCCCGCATGGATGGATCAAACGTGGGCTACCTGCGCGTGCAGCCGGGGCACGTGTTCTCGCGTGTTCTTTGTTGTTGAAGAAGAAATAAATTCTTCTGTTTGGGCAGATTTTGCGACCAACCTCCCCTTCCTCCTCCTCCGCCTCTCCCACCCCCTCCCCGGTCCGCCAATACAATCCCAGCATAAATATGTCTTCAAATAACCGAGACTTTTGCAGATTCATATTTTTATAAATTTTGATAAATGCATATTCAACATGTGTGTGCATAGTTCTTCACCTGTGCAATTCAATATGCAGCTAATGTCAACATTCTTCACATGTGCAAATCACATGTGCAAAACCAGTATTGTTTCCTGTGCTTTTCAAGAACTACATTTATTTGTTTTTAAGTGTTTCCATCGCTGGAATAGAAGCACAGTGTCCCCTAAACAGTAAGATTTCCAAATTTCCTGGCTCTCCCTGCTCCTGCTCACCACTAATAAACTTTAATTTCTATACATTTGCCTATTCTAGATATTTCATATAAGTGAGATCATGTGGTATCCTTATTTCACTCAGCATAATATTTTCAAACAATATTTCAGGCTGTTTCTGATATTGTAGCAGGCATACGGACTTCATTTCTCTTTCTGGCTCCGTTGTATGTATGCATGTATCAAACTACCGATCCACTCATAGCCCAAAGGTGTAAACAGCCCCCATGTCCACCAGGTGTGCATTTCTCATTGTTGGGTTGATGTTGGCCACCCAGCAGCAAGCCCCTTCCATGTGTCAGGTGTTCCCTACTATGCATTTTGAAGAAGGAGGTGAGAATGCACTTTCACCTGTAGAAGCTGGACACCCAGGACTTCTTTTCTGTGCTCTCACCATGAAGGGTGGGTCCTTGGCCGGGTGGGAGCAATCAGATGTCGTTTCAAAGCCCTGTTTATCTACATGAAGTGAGAGAAAGAGGCAGGTGTGGAGGAGCATTCCTACTGGAACAAGACTCGAGGACCAGGGAGGCAGTGTCTGGGATTCCAGTGTTCAGGAAAAGCAGAGTCCACAGCAGACCTTCCCTGGGGTGCCAGGGTGCCTGTGGCTCGTCAGTATTTCTAAGAAAGGTTTTATGCCTATGATGCTGAAGCCTGATTCTCTAGACTTTGCCTTGACCCTGACACCCATTCTCTGTTATTTCAATAAATTCCTATTCTCCTTATTTTACACAGGGACCACCTCCACAGATCATAATTGATGACCCTAGCGCATCCCTTTAGATCTGTGATAGGATTGTTGTCTCCCGGTAACTGGGATGATGACAGGGACTAAAAGCCTTCAGCCAGGCATCTAAGAGTCCAGGCCATTAGTTAGGTCAATGAAAACTCCTTTTAACACGGACCCTTAAACAGGCGTCTGCTCTTCTTCTTTTAAAATACTGTCTTTATGCAGGCTCCTGTTCGTGTCAGCCCTCTGGTGCTGTGGAGCACCTCAGAGCTCCAGGTGATTAAGTGGATTAGCTGTAGGTTCAGTGACCTGGATGGTAGGCCAGAAGGTCAAGAGGCCGGATCACTCTTTGCATTAGGCCCTGCCCTGCGATCCTTTGGCCATTTGCTCTGAGAGCATCTGTTCTTATGCCTCCAATTAATTTAATCTGCACTGCTTTGTAAAGTGCCCTGTGCTGTGGAGTCAGGCAGTGTGTTAGTGCCCTATTCACATTATAGAGCCAGTAATTCTTTGCCTGACACTATGGATTCTAGATTCCTCTACCATAGTGTCGACAAAGGGAAGTTAAATTGTACTTGGTACAATCTCTGGGACAGCTTTGCAATGTGGGTTTGGGGGCCCCCTCTGCCTCTTCAAAATTTTATTGTGTTAGTGAGAACAGATGAAAGAAGAGGTGAGTTGGGAGAAGAATAGTAGAAGCATCCTTTTTGGAGTTAAAGATTTAATTTTGACCTTAATTTACTGAATTTTACTTTTGCATGTTTAAGAGCACAAGTGCTGTGGCTTGCGTTCTCATAATGTATTAGATATTTAGGAACATGGCTTCTAAATATCAGTTCTCTCCCCTTCCCCTGCCTCACTTTTATCACAGCCTTTTATTGGCCTTCTAGTTATAGAGGTTAAGCACTAGCTACCTGCTGGCGGTTGGCAGCCTCAGTCTACTCAGAAATACGTAGGAAGAAAGGCCTGGCGACCCCTCTCTCAGGAAGAGCTGCCATTGAAAGGCCTCTGTAGCAGAGCTCAGTTCTGACATACGTGATGGCCAGGAGACCCAGTAGACGCAATGGCAACAACTTCTGGTCCTAGTTCTTGGAATGGGTTTAACCTTATCTGTACGTGTGACTTTGTGAAAAGTTCAAGGAAAAGAGAAATGAGCTTTATTAAAAAAAAAAAAAGCCCCAAAGTGGGCTCTCTCACATATGGCATTGGCTATCAAATCATAATCGATTAGGACCCCTTCCCCAAATTCACAGGTTGGACATCCACAAGGCTGCATGGGCGAGGAGCCTCGTCTTCCCACAGGCAGTGAGCCCAGTGCTATTGTTATGTATGTGCCACCAGTTGAATCCCCTCTGCCTCTGACGTGGGGAAACACCTTTGCCTTTGATGGATGTCTGTGTTCTTTTCCCAGGGAAGAGCGATCCTTTCTGCTTGTTGGAGTTAGGCAATGACCGTCTCCAGACACATACCATTTACAAGAACCTCAACCCCGAATGGAACAAAGTTTTTACATTGTAAGTGCTTTCTCCTCCAGACTACCAAGCGGGCAGCCTTAACTTAGAGGGTAATTAATTATTCCTCATGTGCTGGGTACTGGGTCTAGAATGGAAGTTTCTGTATGCTTTTATGTGCAATGAATGAATTTTATTGTTTTCTTCTTCGGAAAATTTTTTATCCTTTCATTTTACAGAGTGGAGTGTCAATAAGAGAAGAGCCATTTTGAACTGTGAGGCAGTATTACAGGAGATATTTGTAAAGGAGATACTTTAGTGGCTAAATTAATCTGTGCAGACCTGGAGATCTCTGTATTCAGGCTAATTCATGCTTGGGTTATGGGACTTCACAAATGGAGACCTACCTTACATTCAAGTTTATATGCTCCAGTAGTGTCTTCATACCCCAAACATATGCTTTTAGAGTCTTTTGAACATTACCGTTTATCCATGAATCCACAAGGATTTCCAAAGCCTTGGGCCTACTCTGACTCATTTGACTTATTCAGGTGACCTGTAGTTGATGATGCCCTGCTCGCTTTTTCTCACTGGACGCAACTCACTGCCATGGAGCCGATTTTTCCTGAGCAGGCCGATAGTACAGCCTAGAACTACCCGTGTGTATCTTTGGGACGGTGACTCTTTAGGGAGCAGACAGTCTACTCTCTCTCTTGCTGTGTGGCTGCAGGTTACAAAATGCTGACCTTGCAGTTAGCAGCCCAACATGTAACCTTCTACCTCACTTAGTTGCCCTTCGTGCCAGCACCAAAGAGACTGGATATATTTACAGTTTGGACCTTGCTCATGGAATCATTGGGCCATGCAACACCTATCCAGCTGCTAACCAAAGGGTTGGAAGTGGGTGTTCCCCCTAAGAAGAAAGAGCTGGCAATCTACTCCCAGGAAATCCTCCCCTGAGAAGGCCGGGATGCATAGTTCTACTCTGACACCTAGTGAGAAGCCGTGAGTCAGGATGGAGTTGCTGACAACTATCAAAATAAAGATTACATTTGTAGGTGCAGAGTCACCTGGCCCTCCAGGGGAGACCTGGTGTTGCATTTGGCTGAAGTGGGGTACAGTCTCACCACTAAACTGAGAAATGGTCTCTGCTTGTGAGAGTATAAAGATCATTTTGAGTGGGGTTGATGTTTTAAGAAGAACGTTTTAAGAATCTATGAGAAGTAGTTTTGCTTTGCTAACAAGCGGGTTTCCAGGAGCCCCTGCAGCACAGCAGGTTAGGCATGGGGCTGCTCACCACAGGTCAGCAGTTTGAAACCACCAGCCTCTCCAAGAGAGAAAGATGAGGCTTTCTACTCCCATACAGACTTAGAGCCTTCAAAACACACAGGGGCAGTTCTGTTCTGCCCTGTAAGGTCACTGTGAGTTGGAATCTACTCAGTGGCAGACAGTTTGGTTTTTGAGTTTAATAAACAGGTTTGCAAATTATCAATACTAAGCATGTCTTGCTTGCCTGAAACCTTGCCAAGGCCAATGCCAGTGATACCATTTTTTTTTTAACCTAATGTCTTCTGGTCAATATAAAACATGTTTCCAAATATGCATGGTAATTATAAGATTTTACTTTTCCGCAACCTGAGGTGCTCTGGGTAGTTCACTGAATAGGAACTTTGAGTTTGTCTATTTAAAGGTAATGTTTCCTTCGTTTAAAGGGAGACTCTCATTTGGATCGCTTTCTTTTTGCCCTCCTTCCTCCTTCCCTTTCGCATTTCTTTAGCAGCCTACCCTGGAGTACATGCACACATGGAAAATGTCACAGTACAAGGGAGTTGACTTTTTCCTTGTATAGATGCTTGGATCTTCTATGATGGAAGGTTTGGGAATACAGTCAGTTTGATTTAATTTGTGGAGTTTAATTAAATGGTAGTTGTGTCCTCTAAGGCATAGGACTTAATTAGTGCAACAACGTTTTCAGATCTTCCCGGAACAGACTTCGTTCGCGTGTGTTTGTGTGAAATACCCACTATGTTTCTTGTTTCAGTCCCATTAAGGACATCCACGATGTGTTGGAAGTGACAGTGTTTGACGAAGATGGAGACAAACCACCTGACTTTCTGGGGAAAGTCGCCATTCCCTTGCTGTCTGTAAGTTACCTCTGCGGATAAAGAATTTGTGAGTCTTTGCAGTTCACAACTTCCTAGGGTCTAAAGTTGCTTGCTCCTTGTCAATCCGGAGGAAAACAAAACCCTCCCTCTGTTGTAGAAAGCACCTGTGCTATTTCTCACCTTTCCTCGGGTTTCCCAAGAGCCCTGGTGGTGCAGAGGGTACAGCTTGCTGCCCATCCCCAGCCACGTTGCTGTGGGTGTCTACTTCCTTAAAGATTACAGCCATGACCTGTGGGTTCTCTGATTTCAGTTAGAAAATGACCTCGTCTTCTCTGGGTATTAATCTCGTACGGATTTCACCATCCAAACATTTTGGCTTGTCTCACCACTCTTTATCTTTGCATATAAATAAGGAAATGTTAATATTCTCGGCTTGGCTTTCGAGAACCTGCATCTATAACTGATGTTGCATGTTGTAATGACACCAGAGGTATTTCCTCACATGTTCTAGCTGCACATTCCATCGAAGAGGAATTACTTGTAACGGGACATTTGTTCTCAGTACCACTAAAGAAGGTTTCCCTCAAAGCAAAGTTCTGTCTGTCGTCCGAATAGGCAGATTTGCTTCCAGCCGCCCAAGAAACTGATTTGTGGAAGGAAATAGAGTAGCAGAGATGCCTCAGTGTCCCCTGTAAGCTGAAGCTTCCCAGTGATGTAAGAGAAGCTGAGTGTAAAAACTCCCTAATCTAATTCACTGAAGACAGAGTGAAATGATGCCTTCCTATGAAACAAGTAGGAAATCTGAGGTTGAAATTTGCCTATGAATTGGGCATCAATGTTTGGACCAAGTGCATTCTTCTAGAAGAGAGGATTTCGGCTTTTCATCCAACTATTAATACAGTATGTTTCATCCTCATTATGGCCCTTATCAGCCAATGAGGTTTCACCTATTTCTCCCCAAAGACATATTTTTCAAAAATAGTGAGGGCATTTTCATGGATGGAGCAGTCTGTAATTTAACCAGGAGATTAGTCTAGCTCACATGATGTTTACTAAGGGGAAATGCTACACCCTTAATATCTCTTTTTCTGTTTTTGATCACTTTGTTAATTTCTTCTAAGTTCCCCTATCCCTGATGTTGTTTGAGAAGAGTGGCCGGGGCATTTGCTCCCTCACAGGGTCCTTTCCTGCCAAATGCTCCCAGCCGTCAGTGAGAGCACACAGGCTCTCCGGGAGGACTTGGGAATATGGAATTTCCCTCCTTAAAAAAAAAAAAATTACAGTGTTGACAGTCATTCCTGAAAAAATTACTTCTAACAGAAATAGGGAACTCACTTTGTTCTCTCTTCAGAGAATAGCAGCAAAATAGCCCTGCCTCTCTCTCTCTCTCTCTCTCTCTCTCTTTCTGAGTTTTCATCTTTTTTGAAATAGATAAATCCTTTGGTAGTATATTCTATTGCTTGCTGGGTGGGCATTTCGTCTCTCTTCCATTCTTCCTTCTTCACGTGAATAATGTACGTGCTGTTGAATTCAAAGTAAGAAATTCTCTCTAGCAAAACCAAGGCTTCTCAACTTTGGCACTGTTGGCATTGGGAACATAGAGTATGTGCGGGGTTCTCGTCCTTTGTAGCATGTTTAGCATAATCCTTGACTTGATACCGGCAGGTACCCAGAGAAAGTCTCTGCTCCATCACTTTTACGGCTATTGAAAAGGTCTCCAGGCATTTCCAGGTTTCCACTGTGGGTTAAAGTCACTACCAGTATAGAAGCATTGAGCCAAACTGGTGCATTTCTCAAGAGAAATCCTAGCGAGTACAAACCCGTTACCACTGAGTTAATTCCAACTCCCAGTGACCTGTATAGGTTTTCCAGTTCTCAGAGCGGCTGGCAGCCTCACCTTCTCTTCCTGAGCGGTTAGCCTAACCCAAAGTAGCATGATTTGTGATGAGGCAGGATTAGCTAGCTGTAAGCAGCATTTAAGAAATTGATTGAAATGCAAAAATTGGAAACAAAGAAGGATCCGTAGTTGGAAACATGTCCTTGGTCACAGAAACAAAGATGGCGATTGCATGATCGAGTTTTGCCAAACATATTCATTGGAAATACCAAAAAAACTTGATGCAGTGAACACTAAGAAGATAAAACATGTTGTGGCATGAAATCACAGACTTCATACATGAAGAAATCAGATCATTGAAAAGATAGAAGGCCAAAATAGATGTCAGAGGGAACGCTGAAACTTGCTTTTGAACCTAAATAGCGTAGCTTCAGTGAGTCGAAGAAATGGTGATGTAAAAGAGCTGAACAGAAAATTTCAAAGGGCAGCTGTGGAAGATAAAGTAAAGTATACTAATGAATGTGCCAAGACCTAGTGTTAGAAATCCAAAAGGAAAGAACATTTCTCAAACTGAAAGAACTGAAGAAAAACTTCCAGCCCCAAGTTTCAGTATTGAAAGATTCGATAGGTACAATGTGGAATCATGCGGGAAGCATCAAAAGAAGACGGAGCGAACATACCGCACCACAGTACCACAAAGAAGTGCTCGACGTTCAGCCACTTCACGAAGCAGCCTAGGATCAAGAACCAGTGGGATTGAAAGCAGCCGTCCAAGCTACACTGAAGGCATGGACAGAAGACACGTCTTCAGGAATTGATGGATTACCTGTTGAAACGTTTCAACTAACTTACACGATGCTCACATTTCTATTGCCATGGCATTTGGAAGAGATCCAGATTTGTGACATTCTAAAGTAAACTAGTACTTCCAACAGAATGCTGAAATTAGTGAACAAGATCGTTAATATCAAGGAGCCCTGGTGGTACTATGGTTTAGGTATCGGTCTGCTGACTGAAAGAAAGGTCAATGGTTTATACCCACTTACCACTGTGAAGGATAAAGATAATGCTGTCTGCTTCCAGAAAGATTTACAGTCTCTGAGCCCTGTAGCATAGTAGGTTATGTGTTGAACTGCTAACCGCAAGATCACAGCAGTTGGAAATGAATGGCCACCCCACACGAGAAAGCCCCACAGGTGCTTTCTACTCCTCTGAAAAGTCTTAGAAGTCTACAGTGGATGTTCTAGTCTTAGGGTCTCTCTGAGTCAGAACTGGCGAGATGGTAGTTTGTGCTTGAAACTTACATATAAGTACTATGTCTCAGAATCAACTCAATGTCAGTGGATTTGGTCTCGTTTTTAAATAATTAATATCTAAGTAAAGTTTTGCTTAAGATAATTTTTAAATGATTTCAGAGGTACATAGACAGGGACTGGCCAAAAATTCAAATGAATAAATAAGAGGACATAGAAAGAGGAATATAATTGCTTTTATCAGCAGGCTCTTGGCTGAATGCAGACAAAAGATGTATACATGAATTGCATTGACTCTATAAAAGCATTCAACTTTGTGGATCATAACAGATTTTGGATAATGTTGCCAAGAATGGACATTCTAGAACACTTTACTGTGCTCATGCAACTTCCAGCAAGCAAGCTCATTGGCGTCACCTCAATTCCACCTCCTAGTGACCCTACAGGAAGGACTCGATTTCCCTCTGTGGATTTCCAAGACTGCCACTCTCTCCAGGAGCTGAAAGCCTCATGTACACCGACCTTCTGCATAGACCCATGGGCAGTCTTTAGCACAGAAACAGAAGATACTGTGTGATTTAAAACCAAGAAAAGTGTGCCTCGGTGTTGTATCCTTTCCCAATATTTACTCACTCTTTCCATTGAGTAAATAATCCAAGAAACTGGACTGTCTGAAGAAGAAGCAGTATCCGGGCTGGAGGAAAACTTATCAACAACCTGCAATATGCAAATAACACAGTCTTGCTTGCTGAAAGCTTTGAGGACATGAAGCCCCTAACTAATGATGATCAAAGTGTATCTAACCTTCAGTGTGGATTGCATTTCAGTATAAAGAAAACACAATTCCCTACAAGTGGACTTATAAGCCACATTGTGATAAGCCGGGAGGACATTGAAGTTGTCAAGGATTTCATGTTACTTGGATCGGTAATCCATGTCTATGGATGTAGCAGTCAGAAAGCAAATGGCCTATTGTTCTGGGCGTGTATGCCACAAAGATCTCTTTTATATGTTCAACAAAGGTGTCCACAGATTATGGCACTGGCAAAGAATATTGAGTATGAATTGTGCTGCCAAAAGGATGAGAAAAAAAATCTGTGCCGGAAGAAATAGCAAGGCCGGATGGTCTTTAAGGGCAGGGATGATGTGATTTCAAACTGGGAGATGTTATCAGAAGGCACTGGTCCCTGGAGAAGGACATCATGTTTGGTAAAGCAGAGGGTCGGTGGAAAAAGTGGAAGACCCTCAATGAGAAGGCTTGACACAGTGACTCTATTACTGAGCTCAAGCAGTCCATGACTGTGAGCACCGGGTAGGGTTTCATTCTGCATCGCATATTGTTGCAATGAGTGAGAACTGATTCAACAGGACATGACATGAGACCCAGCTGCCGTACCTTTCTCCTGTGTATGATACACTCTCCCATGACCTGGTCATTCATACAACTGACATATTTCTCTATCCAGTGTCTGCTTCGTCTTAGGCAGTTGGTAACACAACACCGCTGACCACAGTGGATCTCTCACTTCTTAGAGCTTCTTTATCTTTGCAGGGGACAATATACAAATCAAATGAATGCTATATGCAACATGTTAGATTAAAAGCATTATGGAGAAACATATAGGAGGAAAAGAGGACAAGAATTTGTGGAGAGGAAAGAAAAAAGGGTACCGCGTTTCATAGGGTTTCCAGGAAACTTGTCACTGTTTATGGGGCATGTCAATGAAACTGGAGGGAGGGAGAGAGCTCACCATGGTCTATTTGGGGAAACTCATCCAGGAAGGAGATCTTCATGTTTAAGGACTCAGGGGCAGGACCTTTACTGTTGAGTTCCAGAAAAGCAGGGAAGCCAGTGTGGACGGAATGGTGTGAGCCAGGTGGGAGAAGCGAAGGAGGCGTCATCCAAATCTTAACTTGCTTGGCTGCTCACCTGAAGTGGGAGCTCTCAG